AAATTAAAATATATAGGAAAACATTAATAATCATAGGACACTTTATTTAATAAATGATATTAAACTTATTAAGGCAAGGATATTGAAGGAGTTGCTAATTCATTCAAGAGAATTCTTCCCAGAGACAGTGAAAGTAATATGACAGAATTCTGCCTTTTAAAATAATTTATCTTAGTGTATCAAAATAGTGCATAAACCTAAGGATCAACTTTTGCACCGATCTCTCTAGTTCTGAAGGGAGGTAAATCTTACATGCAAACTACATATTTAAATGCTAGCATTTTATGGAAATTAAAATATAAATTAAATCTGCTGGAAAAGTTACATTACCACTTAGTTTTATAAGTAGTATGCTTTAAATCATATCAAAAGTAAAAATAAAAAGGCTGACCTAGACTTTTCTGTCAAATTACACTTAATTATGGAGATTCAGAAACTTTACAGGTAACTTTAGTCAAATTAGAAGTCTCTAGTCAAACATTGTCTCACTAAAATGTCCATATTTGTTTTAATTCAACTATCTTTGCATTAAAACTTTTATTTTATATGCTTTTGTCCTCTTTCCCACATAAAAGATGTAACCTTTCTCACAAATATTTAACTATGACACTATGTTGTGATAGATCACTTCTTTATTTGTAAATGCTTCTGTCTAAATTTTAAATACTGGAAAAAATATATATATAATATGTGGCAACTAGTCCTATGGTTATTATCCTCAAATTAGCAGAAGTTATGAAATTATTTTGTTAATTCAGTGCACAAAGCTCATATCAGGAATACATGGAATTTGGGTAAAGGTATTATATGTAATTTTTTAAAATTAATAACTTTTATACAATTGTGTTCACAGCTATTTATCTCACAATTTTTCATTGTTGATCAAAAGATCGATCCCAAGAGAAGAAAAGAAAGACAAAAAAAAAAAAAAGCAAAATCATTTTCAACATTGAAAAGCAGCTCCAAGCTTACATTTTCTGTTGGTGAGAAAGTAGCTTAATCTTCATACTCATACAATTCTATTCCACTCCTTTAGCTTCTGATATTTTTATCTATAACAGGAATCCTTCAGAGCCAAATGCACATAGCTTTGCCTTTTGCCTTAACACTGATAAGTTTGTTTTTGTTTAAGAATATTAAAAATAAAACAGGAAGACAATGTTTTCCTAGCCATGAGAAAATAGACATCTGACTTGCAAGTTATTCAAAGATTCCATGAAGTGGTTATATTTTTACACTTTAAGACATTTTAACAAATTATTTGATGATGTTCAGATTTCATATGTTAAACTATGTCTTGATGTTTTACACAACAAAGATAACACTGCTCTTCAGGACCAACTTGACAGAATTTGTAATTCTGCATTCAAAAATAAAATACTTCTGCCCTGGATGGATTGGCTCAGTGGACAGAGTGTCATCCCACAGACCAAAGGGTCTTGGGTTTGGTTCCAAGTCAAGGGCAGGTATCTCAGTTGCAGGCTCCATCTCTGGCCCTGGTCCGTGCTGGAGGCAACCAGTCAATGTGTCATGTGTCTCTCTTACATGGATGTTTCTCTCTCTCTCTCTCTCTCTCTCTCTCTCTCTCCTATCTCTATCTCTATCTCTATCTCTATCTCTATCTCTATCTCTATCTCTATCTCTATCTCTATCTCTATCTCTATCTCTATCTCTATCTCTATCTCTATCTATCTATCTCTCTCAAACCCCTCCCTCCTCTCTACAAGAAATTCAATGGAAAAAATATCCTCAGGTGAGGATTTAAAAATAATAATTTAAAAAATTAAAAACAAATACTTTATTCCTAGTTTCTTTGATTTTTAGTTTTTAATTAAAAATATAATCAGAGACATATAAATAGTCTATTATTTACTCACATTAGTGCACATTGAAAGGAAATTAATTAGAAGGTGGCCAATGGGGCGGGACTGGGGGAAACAGGCCTGACAGGCCTTGGAGTCAACCTCCCACTGTCCCCCCTCCCCAGCCGCTGCACCTGGGGTGGAGCCATGGCTCGAAGATGGTTTTTGGAGTGAGTAGGGTCCCTCTGGCAGGTGGGGTTCCTCAGCCTGGACTGCGGATCGGGCTGGAACTGGCTCTCAGACATCCCCTCATGGGTCCTGGATTGCAAGAGGGCAGTTCTCGGGTGACACACCCTGGAATTAGGCTCCCTCCTCTCTGGTTCCAGGTGCATCACCCAAGAACTGCAGCTGCCAAGTCATTGCTGCTCAGCAGCTCCTGCATTGAACATCTGCCCCTGGTGGTCAGTGTGCATAATACCTACTGGCTAGTTGGCCGGTCAGACGGTCACTTAGCCATATATATATATATATATATATATATATTCAAAGCATTTTCCTCCCTGATGATTGATATTTGTCATGTTAAACAGAATACAGGACCATTATAATCAGACAAGAGGGTAAAAAGCTTGTGCTTCCAAATCTTATGATAGATAGTTCTGATATTTTCCTAATTTATCTCATTTGAATGTGTCTACTTTATTCCACATAATAATAAAAACATTTATAGAGTGCTTTCCAAGTGCCAGGCACTTTAAGTGATTTTTATAATTTCTTTTCCACAACCACTTGGGATACTAGTATGTTTCCTCTTATAAAAATAAGAACATAAACGCTTACAGAATTGAAGTGGCTAACCCACAGTTGATCAGGAAGGGTGCTAGCCTGGGTTCTCTGAGGAATGGGGTAGTGATAAATGTGTTGATATCAATATTTTAAGCACAGTTAATGAGTTGGTGAAAATAAATTTCTACACAAAATTGCATTATTGGGTTTGTCTTTCAGACACAAAGGAATACTTAATAGAAAGAACACTCTAAAACCCATAAAATGTATTGGAATAAAAACAAATCCCCTGTTCAAAACTAAAAACATGGCGGACCCAACCTGACAAACCCATATTAAATATTAATTATTCCCTTTGCTTTCTGCATCTGTGTGGGTTTCACAAAGGACACAAGACATAATTGCCCAGGGATTACATGAAGTCATATATTCTATTTGTAAAACTGATTAGACATTGTCAACACTCACTACCAATGCCTTTAACAGCATGATGATATTATAGTGGGTATTTGCCTTTTAATAAAAATATAAATTACTGTTTATTCCCCGAAGCTAACCTCACTCATGCTAAATTATGTATGTATCCATTTTAATATGTATTTTGCATCTGACAGGACAACTCTCCCTAGGACCCTTTCACTGACCCACCTGTCACTATGATGGGGTAAACAATGTCACCTTTCCAGTGCACGAGGAATTACAAAGAAGTTGCAAAGTACACCATCCATCATGCTGGCGCTGTGCCGGTTTTCCAAGTAGATCTCAGCTATCACAAATGCTGTTTAGACTGTTACCAAAAAGCGAAAATTGGAAGCTTATCCCAAACAGTCACATGATGAATGGACATGACAGCTCTTCAAAGAAAAGGGGCACTCCTCTTCTACAAATAACCTTGTCAAAAGCAAAGTAGTGGGGAGCTTTGCTGGCAGTCAAACTAGAATAATTTAGGAACTTGTTAATGGCTCTGCCTGATAGAAATTCATGCAAACACAATGTACTCAAAATAAAAAATTAGGTATGCCTGAATCAGCAGCAGCAACCTCTCAAGCTTGATTTGAATTAGGAAATGATCTGAAGGGATGCAGAAAAATTACTAGTGTTCTATTAATTAGAATATGTGAGTATCAATAATACATCTGTCTAAAACATGGACATAAAATATGCAAGTACTCCATATGCATGTAAAACAGTCACCTACAAATTGCTTTGCTTTTGAAAATTATAATACAACTAGAGCTTTAAAAATCCATATAAATACCTTATTAGATCCTTTATTGAATAGATATTTAAATATGTTTTTAATTGATATCAGAGGAAGGGAGAGGAAAGAGAGATAGAAACATTAATGATGAGAAATAATTATTGATCAGCTGCCTCCTGCACGCCCCCTACTGGGGATGGAGCCTGCAACCCAGACACGTGCCCCGTTGGGAATCTAACAGAGACCTCCTGATTCATAGGTCGATGCTCAACCTCTGAGCAACACCATCCAGGTTAAATATTTCATATATTAATCAGAGATAATCAGAAGTTAGATTTTTAAAAATCGGTGGCAATAATGAACAACAATCAGAAACATAATTTCATTTGTATTAAGTAAAGCAATCTACAGTTTTATAAAAGACTAAATATACTCATTAAGTCAATATTTTTACATGGAAACAGACCACTTGCTATTTAAGAAAACTAGTGACCAGTTATATATTGTATCTAACTGGCAAATTGCCTTTACTACGGCCTAGGCTCTGTCCTCCAAGATTTACATATATTAGTCAATTTGATTCTCAAAACAACCTTATGATATTGGAAATATAATTAGCCACATTACAGAGTTGAGGAAACAGCCCTAGAGCTGAGATTGAAACCAGTCCATGTGGCTCTAAAAGCCATGCACTTAACCTCAATGCCAAAAAACCACAGCACCAAAAAACAACAAAAACTAACCCAGAAAATAGCAAAGCAATAACCCACAGCTGGCCTTCTAGCTCAGGTGTTTTCCATTAAGAAAGTGGAAGTACTGTATTTCAAATCTTAAAAGTGTGAATAATCACATCAATTTTCCACTGCCCCCACCTCTATTCTTTCTGTCCATAGCAATCTATTAAAATCTGCCTTTCAAAAACGAAGAATGAAATGAACATGTACTCTATGTACTAAGGGAAATGTGAATGACTCAGTCACATGTTCAACACTTTTGAATTGAATTCTTCTAACGTGTTTTCACTTTCCAAAATGACAAGTCAAGAGCCAGGCAATCCAAATCTTCCTTTTCCTTCCCTGGCATCTCCACACTGAGGACATTTAACAGTTACTTTTGTATGTTGCATCTTGCCAGTTAGTTCACTTTAGATGAAAGCTGCTGTTTTCTAATTCTATTTCACTGTAAATGACAGAGACAAATGGTCATATTACCTCGAGAGTTCCTTTGGCAGAATAGGCTGCGTATGAGGAGAGCAGATCTTGGCTGCGGTGTGTTCTGGCTTCTCCACCGCAAGGCTGGCCGTTAGCATGAAAGCATTGGCCGCTGCTGCTCAGCGTCACAGAGCTGGGAGAAGGGCCTGGCAGACTCAGCAGCACAGAGTAATTTACAAACTGCACATCTTCTAGGCCCAGAGAAGTCCACTGAGCCTTAATCGTCTTTGAAATTTCTGTGTCATCTTCGCTTTTGTACAGTGGTATCAAATTTCTGAAAGAAATTTAAAAAGCACATTATAAAAAGATAAGAAAATCTTTATTTTTTTAGTTGTGACTGTTTCATATATGAACAATTATTAATAGCTGTGGATATGAAAGATGAATGAGATGGGCCACTACACAAGAAACTCCCAGTTAGGTAGAGGTGATGAGCTTGCACAGAAATCGCACTAAATCAAAACAGAATGAATTAAGTTCTTAAGAATTAACAAAGCACTGTGGGACTGAAGAGAACAGAGTGATTAATTCCAACTAGTTCTTTTATTTGTTCTGATCCTTCTATGGACATCAACAATCCATTTAAAACTCAGTTCAAAAACTAGGAGTCATACTGGTTGAGACAGTTCTGTATTACTGTTACTATTATTTCATACTAGAGGCTCAGTGCATGAAATCCCTGCATGGGTAGGGTCCCTAGGTCTGGCTGGCAATAGGGCCAATCGGGGCCTTCCGGCTGCTGACCAGGGCCTTCCTTTGTTCTGTGCTGCCCCATAGTGGTCAGTGCATGTCATAGCGAGCAATCGGTCTCCTGGTCGAATTCCCATGGGGATAATGTGCATATTAGGCTTTTATATATACAGATAAAGCTATGTGATTAATATATAGCTGTTGCTATTGCAAATGATAGAGACAGAACTCTTTCTGATACAAATTACATGCCAAATTGCATGATGCTATAACCACAATGATATGCAATAAAATCAGTATATCATGGTAAAACCAACCACAGCTTCACAAACCAATATGAAATTAATTTTTGTGTGTGCATGCTGAAGTCTATAACTTTACTTCTATACCTATCCCATAATCCATAGTGATATTATATATTTTTGCTTATGATATCCTAGAAAAGAATCTGTTAAAAATATGTGTAGAACCTAGAACAGAATCAGATGAGGAAATTAAAAGATAATAATCCAATAAAGTTTTGTTTTGTTTTATGATGGAATTCACAAGATCACCATTTTTGCCTATACATATATATATATATCCTCTTATGAGAACTTTATTGCTATCCAAACTATTACCTAAGTGAATATTTGATAATCATTGTTATTTTTGCCCATCCATTATTTTTTTTTCAACCATACTTGTTACATTTTGGACCCTGCTTAGTCAAGAAAACCAAAATGAAATACTTTCAAAAATGGAATAAAAGTAAACACAATGAAAAAAAAATACATACAATAGTAAAGGAAGGCATTGCTGGAGACAAAAAGTAGGTCTATTGACACAGCTTAAAAAGAAGATGTAATAATATACAATGTCCCAGCTGTTTTCTATATTTTGAAATGCTATTTCTATTCTTTTTTTTAAATATCTAGTTTGATCAATCATCAGTACCATGTAAACTTTATGGAAGAGGTGATTAAAGAATTCTATCGTTTTTATTTTTATTCTGAATAAGACTAGTGGTCTGTATTCTATTCTGTTTTTGTTTTTTGTGGGGAGGGAAGGAGGGTGAGGATTTTGGAGGTGTAATAGACAAATGAAATTGTATATATTTAAAGTATAAAACACGACAACCTGATATACATGTATATTATAAAATGATTATCATAATCAAATTAACACATCCATCAGCTCACATAGTTACCTTTGTGTGTATGTTTGTGTGTGTATTGTGTGTGTTGAGGACACATAATATCGAATCTCTCAGTAAAATTTAAGTATACAGCACAGTATATTAACTACAGTCACCATGCTTTACATCAGATCTTCAGAACATATTCATCTTATAACTGAAGATTTGTACCCTCTGACCAACATCACTCCATTTCCTATAGCCCCCAATCTCTGGCAACTAGGATTCTACTCTGTTTCTATGAGTTTAACTTTTTTCTTTTTCTTTTTTTTTTAGATTCCACATATACGTGATATTATGCAGTATCTGTGTTTATTGGTCTGGCTTAATGAATCAATGCACTTATCATAGTGCCCTCAAAATTCATTTATATTGTTGCAAATGGCATGCTCTTCACTAAAACTGAATAATATTCCATGTTTTATACCCCACTTTTCTTTATCCATTCATCCTATATAATAAAAGGCTAATAAGTAAATCGACCCAATGGCGGAACGACCAGTCTCTATGACGCACACTGACCACCAGGAGGCAGACACTCAACGCAGGGGCTGCCTCCTGGTGGTCAGTGCACTCCCACAGGGGAGCACCACTCAGCCAGAAGCTGGGCTCATGGCTGGCCAGCGCAGGGGCGGTGGTGGGAGCCTCTCCCGCCTCCGCAGCAGCGCTAAGAATGTCCGACTGGGAGTGAGCCTAAGCTGTCAGTTGGACATTGCCCGAGAGCTCCCAGACTGCAAGAAGGTGCAGGTTGGGCTGAGGGATCCCATGCCCCTGAGTGCATGAATTTTGTGCACCAGGCCTCTACTTAGAATATAAACACTTAGCTTGATTTCATACTTTGGCTAGTAATTCCCAGTATAAAAATAACACAGTATATAGTTAATACTAGAGGCCAGATGCATGGAATTCGTGCAAGGGACTTGGCCCTCACAGCCGCAACAGCTTGCCTCGGCCCTTGCAGCCCCGGCTTTGTCTGGAAGGTCATCCGGAAGGATGTCCAGAAGGTCATTCGGCTGTTCAGTCTAATTAGCATATTACAATTTTATTATTATAGATTTTATGTATACAACAATATGATATCTCTTCTATCTATCAATTTCATTCATTTTGGATATATACCCAAAAGTGGTATTGCTGAATCATATGGTAGTTCTGTGTGGTTTCTTTAATTGTTTGAGAAAACTAAATATGTTTTCCATAAAGGCTATACCAGTTTACATCCCCACCAACAGTTTAAAAATGTTACCTTTCCTTCACATCCTTGCTGGCTTTTGCTATATCTTGTTTAATTGGTAACCCATGTGAGGTGATAGCTCATAGTTTTGCTTTGTATTCCCTGATGATTCATGAGACTGAGCATCTTTCATGTATCTGTTGGTCATTTGTACATCTTCATTGGAGAAATGTCTACTCAGGTTTTTGTCCATTTTTAAATTGGGCTATTTGTGGTCTTTTTGCTATTGAATTGTATGAGTTCTTTATATATTTTAGATATTGAAGCCCTTATCAAATATATGGTGTGTAACTATCTTCTCCATTGCATAGGTTACCTTTTTGTTGATTGTTTCCTTTGCTATACAAAAGTGTTTTTCTTCAATATAGTCCCACTTGTTAATTTTTGTTTTGTTCCGTATGCTTTGATTGTCATATCCAAAAAACTATTGCAAGACCAATGTCAAGTATTCCCTTTTGTTTTGTTTTCTTTTAGAAGTATTTCAGTTTCAGGTCTTATATTTAGGTCTATAATTCATCTTGAGGTTTTTTTGTGTGAACAGTGTAAAAAAGGAGTCCAATTCCATTCTTTTGCATGTAGATATCCAGTTTTCCCCACAATTATGTGTTCTTGGCACCTTTGTCAAAAGGAATAGACCATATATGCATGGGCTTATTACTGGGCCCTCTATTTTGTTTCATTGATTCTGTTTCACCACTCATTAGATTGGTTTCATTGATAACTTTATATCAAACAGATCAATATTCTGTTTTTATGTCAATACCACAATGTTTTATTACTATAGCCTTTTAATATAGTTTGAAATCAAAACGTGTGATGCTCTAAGCTTTGTTTTTTTTTATTTCACGATGGCATTGGTTATTCAGGATCTTTGTGGTTTCTTACAAAGTTTAGGATTGTTTGTTCTATATCTATAAAAAATGTGTTTGGAAGTCATAGGATTCCGTTGAATCTATAGATTACTTTGTATAACATGAATATTTTAACAATATTAATTCTTTGAATTCAAAGCAGGATATATTATTTATTTGCCGGTATATGTATATTTCAATTTTTTCTATCAATGTTTACAGTTTTCTTTTCTTTTTTAAATTGGAAAACTAGTCCAACATTTTCAGATTCATTAATTTCCTCATTTATAAAATGAGTACAAGAATACATCTCTCACTGTTTCTCAGTACAGGTTATACAAAATAATGTTATAAAAGTGTACACTTGCCACATTAGATGCTTTAGATAGGTGACAGCTATTATTATCACTATAGTTTTTTAAAATCAATTTATTAATATTATATTGTTTGTTTTTACTATAAAAACAAAAGGAAAGGTAAGAACCATTGATTTAGAATAGTAGTTCTCAAAGTGTGTTCTCTGGAGCCCTCGATCCCTAAGACCATTTTAGGGTATCTGAAAGGTAAACGTGTACAAGTCTTTCACTTCCTTGGTTAAATTTATCTCTAAGTATTTTATTATTTGTAATGTCATTGTAAATGGGATTCTATTTTTAAAAAAATCAATATAGTTAGCTGTGTATAGAAACTCAACTAATTTTTATGTTGGTTTTATATCTTGCAACTTTACTAAATTCATTTATAAGTTCTAATATTTTTTTAAATTGAAGCTTTATGGTATTCTGTATATAAGATCATGTCATGTGCAAACTGAAAAATTTTCCTTCTTCCTAGCCTATAAGGATCACTTTTATTTCTTTTTCTTGTCTAATTCCTCTGGCTAGAACTTCTAGTAACATGTTAATGGAAGTGTAGAGAGAGTGGGCATCCCGTGTCTTGATCTTGATCTTAGAGGAAAAGCTTTTAGCTCTTTGCTGTTAAGTATGATGTGAGCTGTTTGCTTTTAAGATATATCATTTATTATTAATACTTATTCTATATTATTTATATTTCTTCATCTACTGAGATGATGTTTACACTTTATTATGTTCATGTGTTGTATAATATTTATTGATTTGCATATTTTAACCATCCTTGTATACCAGGGATAAATAATAATTGATCCTTTTTAACATGATGTTGAATTCTGTTTAATATTTCATTGATGAGGATTACATCAATGTTCATCAGAGATATTGGACTCTAATTTTCCTTTCTTGTAGTATTCTTCTTTTTTTTTTTTTAATCTTCACTGGAGGATATTTTCCATGGATTTTTAGAGA